AGGATAACAAGCACAGTTTACTGTCACCAGTTCAGTTTGACTTGAGAGGAATTAAATAACACAGTCAGAGTTTCCATGGGTGGGCCTCAGAGTGGTTGGAGCGGGTGAGACTTTCACCAATGTCGGCTCAGTGCAGCGCTCAAATTAATTACAAAATGGGTAAGAGAGAAGATTAAATGAAAACAGGGGGATCCTGCATTATGAGTAACTAAATCTGAATAAACATGTGGCTTTCTATATTCAGAGCTGTGGGTGGCAGACACCAAAGGGCAGGGAAGGGCCTTGCGTGTTCTCAGATGGAAATGATTTCCTGTCTTGTCTTTGATTTGTTTCACTTCCAGGTCTATTTTTTTATTCCACCTGTCACATTTTACGGACTCAAACTTGTTGACATAATGGGAATGAATAAAATGATAATCAGTGTTAACATAGAAAATGTCAAATGTAATCCATTTATTAATTTCCCCTGCATTCAAAGGCAATTAACTCGTGTGTTTTCCTTGGTTGTGTGTTTGTTGACGTGGGTTTCAGTCTCGTACATGAAAAAGCTGTGAGAGCGATAATGAGCGTTAATTCAGGTGAGTTTTGTCGTGGCAAAATGGGTTGTGTGTCTTCCCCTTGGACCGTACATGCGCACGCAGACACACAACTCACACAAACTCAAATTCCATTTACTCCCCTGCGCCCTTTCGGCTGAACGGCTCAGTGAAAAGGTTATTTGCGTCCACCTCTGCAGACTTAAAGACCTCACATTTTCTTCAACAAATTTATAAATGCAGCAGCATCTATCCTCACCAGGGACAGGCTGGTCTTCATCACCACCTTCTTATTTGTTCATCTCTTCCTTCTATTGGTAATGAGTGATGCAGGTTGCCTGGCTGTGTCATCTTCTCTCCTGAATTAGTCAACTTCCTATCATTTCAAATGACAGTAGGAGAGGAGGCTAGGTATTATGTTCCCACAGGAAGCAGCTGCTGACCAAGCCTGCAGTTGCCTGCTAATAATTGCCGACCTCTCCATATTGCATGGCATATGTAGGATATCTCCACTCTCCTTTCAGACAGCTGACTGGCCCACGTGTCCCTCTTTACTCTTTTTGTAACGACATTGTAACAGGCATTGGCATGGGCCGACGTGTCAGACGGACGGCAAGCCAAACTTTGAATTCCATCTAGGGCAGTAAAAAATTGAGTGACATCCCTTTGCTGCTGTTTGCTCATTTAAATGGTTAACTCTTGATCTGAGGTACCATTCATTAAATACTTGTTATACCCTCTGTAAGATGTGCTCACACCCTCCAAACCTAATTAACTGTGGCTATATTAAGCAGCAGACATCGCATTTCCCGCATTCCTCCTGTAACATCAGCCTCTATGAGGGCTTATCAGATGGGTGACTGTCAAGCCTTATATCTGACGTTACAGTGGGTCCTTTATCTTTATTGACGGGTCGCCCTCCGCAGCAGGCTGGCTTACAATACGTCCCCCGACCCTCTGCTTTCTCCACGGTTGCACGGCCCACTCCTTCCTCCTTCTGTCTTTCTCCAATTATGGTTGTATTAACTCCATTAGTGAAACCATCAGTTGTGTAATTGGCCAATCAACTTGAGGATTGGGAGTCTTTATCAAGTTTCATAACAAATATTAAAACCAGCTGAGAGTCGGGCGGCCCCATATGCTCCTGATAAGACAGACCAGCAGTTCACCGTCTGCCTGTTCATTTTGTCTGTGCGCTTTGTTCTTTACATTCTAATAACCTCTCCATCATCTCAATTTCTTTTCAGTGTCTTACATGCTTTCCCTGTACCCGTTCAGTCACATAGGGATCTGTCGAGGTCTTATTCCCTTTCTCTCTCTTTTTTTTTTTTACAAACTCTCTTTCCCTTTATGTATCCCAGCTTATCCCTCAGATCCAAATCTTAAGTTAAAAGATAAATCAATGCATGCACATTAATGCATGACTGTTTCTCCCTCTGCCTGCGTGTCAGAGAAGCTCCTGCTCAGAGTCATGCCATCATTAGATAAACATGACAACGGTGCACAAATAATTACTGTTGAGTTTACTATAATTAGCCCCAGCCAAATGCAAACAGGATTATATACATGCTTTCTATACAAGAGAGGTGCATCTTGTACCAGGTTTGACATATTTATGTTCTTCTCTGAAATTCTGCAGCTATTAACCTCAAAATTTTCCTCTGGTTTTTTCTCCTTTTAAGCACGTCATTACATTAATTTTCAGAAATGACATTGCTGTTCTTGGAAGAGAAACGGCCCATACAGCCAGTATTCACTTTGTGTTAAAGGAGCCTAATTCTGTGGCAGCCCTTTCAGTTTGGCTCACTGCACCTTTCCTGCCACATGTTGTTTATGTAAGCTAAAGGTTAAAAGACTGAAAGCAACACGGCCCTCTGATTTTCTCTTACAATCTAGGGTGATGAAACAAAACATACTGTTTTCTTGCTGTTTTCCCCCAGAGGAATTGCTGTACCAGATCAACAAGAGCCTTTTTTTTTGTTCCAGACCCATTTTCAAAGTCTTTTTCTGACAAGGTGAAAAAACATTATCTGTAATATTCCTTTCCATGGCACAAAGACATCCATGACTTCCATCCAAGTAAAGAGTTACTTGAATACTGATCTGTAAGTGGAGAATTTTAGTGTCGTAAATCTTATCCTCAGATATTTTCTTACAATAACGACTATAAAAGTTGTCCTTTGTCTGTCTGGGTCAATTCAAATAAGTTTAACTAGCTTAAATAGGTTGAAAAAGATCCAGGGGAAAATCAGAGTGGGTCGCAACAATGTATTGCATCTGTTGTGAGAAATGCAGAAACTTTGCAATTCCTTTGCGTCATACTTCAAACCACAGAACCTCTTGGATTTGAAACAACACATAAGGTGTGGAAATAATCTCAGACGGTCATGTTTTAGTTTTATAATATCTCTGTTTTCAAGCACCTGCCATAGAGAGCATTACTACACATTCATCTGTACACACTTTTTCCCCTTTGACTGCGTGTCAAGTTCCTCATAATACATTTTTCCTTCCTGCTTTCTGTCAGAGTATATTTAATGGAGCTCCTTTTCCTTCCTGGACAGGATTGAGAGAATTCCTTTTAGGACCTGAACACATAAGGTTAATTAATTAATTAAGATATAGCAGTTGTGGCATTGTAGCGGGTCAGATATGTACCTTTTTTCCATTTAGCATCCTTTTTTCATGCTTATCTGGTCATCAGGATGACCCCCTACACTCCTTCTGGAGGGCTGGATGACTGTTGCGAAACAATGCTCATAAGGAAAGGGCATCTTACCATTGTGAAACAAAGCAATAGTATGTTGTGGTTTAGCTAAGTGGGGGGTTTGGGCTGTATGTGAAAAGCTGGACAGTTGATGCATATCTTATCTTGGTGTGACAATTAGAATTGGTCAGCCAAGGCATATTTGTGAGTCTTCTCACATTCTTTCTGCTCAGTCGCCTCGAAAAAGGCAAAGCTGCCTCCATAAGGTGGGGAAACTACAGGGCAGAAAAGTACAATGCCATTTTGGTCGGTTAATCAAATGTTCCCATAAAGTCCAACAAGGAAAGAAGTCTTTTATTACTCCCACTGAGTTTTATTAGATCATGTCTGAATGGGGGTTTAGTGGTACTTTAACGGATAAAGTCCGAGCCGCAATCGAGAAGAGCTTCGTCCTTTTCAACCTCTTCTCTCTCATTCGTACAAAAAAAAAACTGTGCAAACATCTCTTCGTGTAGATCTATCTGAGTGCACAAAACAGCAAAGAAGGGTGTCATTCTTTTACGCAATCCTGACAGCAGTCATGCACACAGCAGCTCTGCCCTAGGGACAGATGTCTGAACAACCTTTTCCTTTTCACAGGTGAGTGGTGGAACAACCACTAGTGTAACAGCCTGGATAGAACAAAGAGAAGAAACAATGAACAATATCCATCAAAAATATCTGTTTTTCAGGCTTGTAAACACATCCAGCCCCTTCTTTATTTATGATGTTCTTTCAAAAATGATCTAGCCTTGACTGCAATCTTACACATAAAAGAGAGTGGTGCATTGTTTGAATGCTCATCCTGTTGGGAAAAAAAACAACTTCCACACAGGGGCTATTTTGTCTGCAGTCGCATAAGAATGGGGATGAACTGGCTTTTGACTAAACCCGTAACAGCAAATAGAGACGTTTTTTGTGATTGTCCAAATTTGACAGAATGTCTACAAGTCTGAAAGAAGATAACTGTCAACTTTAGAGTGCCAGGTTGACTAAACTGAACCAAGAAAAGAACATTTTGGTTTGTAGTCCTTCTTGCTTTTTTATATCAGGTCACATTCAGCAGCCATGGAATTTATGCCATTAATGCCTCAGTAGATGAGGTGAGAAAGTTTTGTTTTACACAGGCTCTTCCACTTAAAAGCAAGTCTAAAATGGATTATCCTCTTTGTTTTGACTGTTTAAACCCCCTTGATTTTATCTTTGTAATGAAAGATGTTCTTCGCAAAGCATCACAGATGAGCTTGTTCCTTCGGATAGGATTTTATCAGAGTAACCAATCCTCCTGCTGTCTTGATGTGAAAGCTCACAATTCATCATCTTGGATCATTAATGTGCACTTATGCTTCTGAGAGGGCTATGATACGGAGAAAGGCTTAAAAAGAAAAAGACTTCAAACCCCTAATGACCTCTTAAATACTCCTTGTCAGTGGCTGAAACTCCTGTGAGCACAGAAAAACACCAAATATCCATTAAACTGCATATTTCACACTGGCTTGATTCAAAACCTTCAATTACAAGTATATTAATGTTCAAACAAACTTGGAGTGTTTGGTAAGTTAATGGCTGTAGAATTAAATTACACAGCAGTGTCGTGAATAAAAAGGTTACAGGGATAAGCTCCTTGACAGGATTCAGAATGGAAAATATTCGGATAGAAAAAGGATCCAGATTAATTAATTAAAATGTTTATATCTAATAGTTTATTCTTTTCTCTAGGAAACAAGAGCTGTTGAACATCTCTAACGTCCCTCTGGGAGAATGCCCCCCCTCACCACCCCGCACTGCACCGCCCAGCATGAAGGTATGACACATATGTTTAATTGTTTGCTACTGTTCTTTAAAAAAATGGCCAAATAGTAAAAGTGTACTGTGAAATATACCGGAGTAAATTATCTTTTTTCCCTTCGTTATTACGTAAGTGATTGTGTAGACTTAATCCTGTTCCTCCAGGGGTGAGGTGCTTTAATCCCTTCCTTACTTGTGTGCTTGACATTAAAACAGGGATTACCTTTGGAGGAAAGGGAAATAAGTACCCATTCTTTAAATATTTAAACTTTTCCACTTCTAAGGGAAATTAAACAAGGGAATTTTATTTCATTTAGTCTACAGTCTTTTTTATACTTTGATATTCTTCACATATCTCATTTGAAACAAGCACACTTACATTGGTTTGTGTTTCTTCATTCGTGACTTGTACTGCTTTGACTGGCACATGAAATTGCATGTATGAAAAGGCCCCAAATAGGCAGTCTGGTTCTCCATTTCCATTGTCTTGGTTTCTTCTCGTGATCCACTTTTATTTGCGTTTGAGTGGTGAGTATCTGGGGCGTAATAAAGAAATTGCAGTCAGATATTTCTGTTGAGAAGACTGAATCTTGATGTACCACAGCGGGGCACGGTTTGAGGCAACCAAATTAATGTAAGCCATCGAGTCTAAAAGGGAGATATACTGACTCTATTCTATGACTTTATTCGTTTACATATAAAAAAGCCTTGTGCAATTCATACAAATGTTAGATGTGATCCTGATATTCATTTCTCATTATGCACCTCTCTTATGGCACAGTTTGGGGATTGTTTTTTTTCCCTCCAGCCTGATAAACGACGGGTCACAGATTTTACAGAATGGGAAGATTAGCAGGGTGATACACAGGAAATAGATGACAGCCTCTGTAAGAAGAAGCCACCTCTTTTTGGGGGGGTGACCTTCAGGCAAACTATTATTCCTGAATATGCTGCAAAACACACAAAGACGGCATAGAGAGGAGGACAGAGACGAATGAAAACGTGGTCAGATAGAGAAAATGCTGTAATGTACGAAAAGAACATTAGCCATCTGAGAGAAATTTGCTTTCAAGCCAAAGGTCATCAATTTCAGCCTTGATGTGTGGCTGATTTCTGGTAATTATCAATGGAAACCTGCAATTTTGCTGTGAGCCAGAGTGGTCTAATGGCAAGAAATTCCTCATCAGCGTCAAGCTTGTAATTTTTGTAATCACTGTATTCTTCAACTCCATGGCTTTTGTGTTAAAAAACTTGTCTTCCCTTTTAGAAATACTGACGAAACATGTTTTTGTGGTGCTGTCATCAGGTTCACATTCGATCCTACTTGGTTTAAGCCGCTAAGATCCCCAAGTCATTCAACACCAACATCACCCTTTCCTCTTTAAGAAAGCTTTAAGTGGTTGGAGCAGGTGTGTAAGGTCAGAGATCAGATAGCAGTACTAAGCAAACAGTATAGTCTCAGGGTAGCAGATATGAGTAAACCCAGCTGTTGACTTAGGCTCTGGAGGAAGGCTTCGTTTGACAAAAGTAAACATTTACCTTAGACAAAACCAGAGATGCAGAAACAAGAAATACCCAAAACTAAATATCTCAAAAACAAAGCAGAGCGTAGCATGGACAGAAGCAGGATGAAGATGTGGATCTAACAAATGAGACCTAAATATACTGAATGTAAGTGAGAAATTTTGCAAACAAGGATCTGGTGTAAAATGAATGTGGGAAGTTATCTGAAAAAAATAAAAGAGGAAGCAGATTTTTTAAAATAAAGCAGGAAGTATATTTGAGAGATATCTATTAAGTAAAGTAAGTAAGGATGTAGCACATGAAAATCCATTGCATGTCACATGCAGAGCAGCTGTGCTGGAAATGTCCATGTTTACAGTGCTGCAAGAAATATTTAGAGGTTCTTGTTATTTGGTAGTTCCGGTTCTGTGACTTAAAATCTAATACAAGTTGAGTTTCTGTTATACATTTCAAATTTCAGATTTACCTGATAATAAATATAATCTAGGGAAAAAAATAGTCAAAAAGAACCACTGCAGCTGTCTTCCAAGCTGTCTACTTTTTCCATTGTGACAAAGCATTGTACAAGCTCAAAAATGGCATTTACTACTGTATTTGTGGGGCCACAGAAACATTACAAGCTTCAATTCCCTTTACAAATCATGAAATGCATATATTTTGCCATGTGTAAATCTGTCAAAAATGTTATATTGTTGATACATGTTTAAAAAACCTTATAAAGAGGTTACAGGTGGTTAATAGCAGTTGTGAAAAGGTCACACGCCAAAGAATTAAATCTGAGCTCCATTCGCAGAACATATTGAAACAACTTTTCACTTTAAATGAATCTGTTTGAGGAGATTTGAGATTAAACATGAACGTTTCCCCCAAGGATGCAACAGGTAATAAAAAAACGTCCATTTCCCAATTCATCACCGTGGCAGACTTGAGACTTATCTGAGGCGTAAGTCCACTTAAAAGGCAGGTGGACTCCTGCCTCCCTGTGACAAAAACATCGCAAATTGTATCCAACTTAACTGAGAACACACCCATTGACACACATGATCTAATTTTACGGACATCTCATCCATTTGTAAAGTCAAAGTCTAAATGCTTCAGAAATTATCATCAAAGTATTCCAACATGACTCAAATGCATGCATGTATAAAGACCTTCTATTTTCTTTTTTTTATGTTGTTTTATATTTGGTGCTCATTGCTTTCTGAGTGGTTATACCAAATCCTGGGGCAGCACCGTGTTTTTTACTGTTACCTCAGAGCGAGACCATCCCCGCCTCAAACCTCAGCTGGGGTTTCATCTCTGCCGAGTTTGCATTATCTCGCAGAGTCACAGTTCAAAAACGTCCATGTTAGGTTAATTGGTGATTCCACATCGTGTGTGAGTGCGCACGGTATTCTGTCGATGTGTGTTAGCTCCCTGATGGACTGCAGGCTCATCGGAGGTGTTAACCACCTCTTATGTAATATATCACCCTTGCTGAGAAACACAGGTGGAAAGAGAAATGGATGGATTTTTACTAAAATCAGTGTTTTCAAATACAGCATTCCTACACTGCAATTGCATACCACTGAATGTTAGAAGAATATTTCAAATTATCTGGGTTTTCTGGCACCTGCTCTTATAAAACACTTTAATCGTGCTTATCACTCTGCAATTTCACAGTTTATAACGATGTAGTCTGTGTTAGATTTTAAACATCCAACAGTCTTAGAAGACACTGCAGGTGAGACAGCAAAAACAAAATCAGTCTCGGCCTATGTAACTCATTCGGTTTGTCTTTGCCAGCCAGAAACAAACACAGGAATAACCTGCTCGGCTTACACACAGGATTTAGTTAGGTGTCTGACTTGACTTTCCTGTTTAAGCTGCCTCTTTGTAAAACAGAGGTTAAATAAGAGTGAGGGTGGAAAGCAGGAAATACACAAATGTTTAAATGATTCAGACATTCTAGCAGCTGCTGTGATGGTAAGTTTGTGATTGTTACAATTTATTAAGAGAATTCAGATGGCATCTTAGAGCTGAGGTTGACCTGCATGTAATTATTACAACTTTTGAGTGGACCTTTGTTATCGACCATTTATGAGTTAGACAAATTGGATTTGAAACTTTGCTTTCAGAGGATTACTTATCTTGTTGAAGTTGGTGTGGCAACTACATGGAGATTGCAACATCATGGTAACCGTCACATGTTGATAATTCTGTGATGTGGTTTTAAAAAGATGACGTAATGTTAAAAAAAACTTTCTGTAAGGGGAGGGCATGGTGTTTTACAGCTAATATTATAGTATTGTGGGCTGGAAGTATTTCAGAATATGCAATCCATTAATAGCAGAACTGCAGGTAGAATAACTTCAGAGGCAAGTCGGTTTTGTGATTGATTCCGAAGTGCCTCCATCTCTTAAACTTTCCACTGTTTTTATGATCTATTTATAGGAGCTTTACTCCCACGTGTGCTATATTTCACAACAATATTTCATAACCCAGGGAGCAAGCCAAAACGGCACTACTGTATATGAAGTACCAGTCATGGATGCAAATTCGGATGGTTACAGTGGGCAGATGTGTGACAAAGAGTGACGTGTATTCAAGCTCAGAGGTCAGAGCAGTCGGCTTTAGCCCAACTGAAAAACACAGTCTCATGTACCAGCCGATGATGAAATTCAGATTTCCCAAAAAAGATGACCAAGAGAAGGGAGGGAATTATAAAGAGCTAACATTTTCAATCTTAACTGCCTCCAATCTCGTATTTGCAATCTTTGAGTCTTTTATTAAATTACATTTTCTGACCTACTATTAATCCCACAGATAACACGGGGAGACATGGATAATGCTGCCCCAGCCCGTGACCTCTCGTCATTTCTTTCAATTTACTGCCCATCCCGCCAAAGATTAACCGCGAATTTGTGTGAATTCAAGCAGCCAATGAGCCCGTCAGTCATTCAGTCACGCAGACAACGCTGCGTATTTAATTAATCTGTGGCTTGTGGTCGCCTTCTTCAGGTTGCCAGGGGAGATGAGAGATGCAGATGTTTCAGGGCTGGGGAGAGATAAGGAAAAGACTGAACGTGAAAGCTTAAATACTGCGCGAGGATAGAGAACAAAGGACAAATGAATAAGATAAGTAATGAGATAACAGAGAAAAGACCAGCTAGGAAAAGATGAGAGGCGCTCAGGTGCTCTTTGATAGATTGAAAACAGAACATAGAGACAGAGAGAGCTTTCCTGACCTTGTTTTTGTCTGGTCATTCTTGGTGGTCTAAAGACTCAGCTGTCATGAACTACAACATATTGGTAAGAAGCAATATGGTGGGCTGTAAAACAATAAAAAAAATTAAAAGGATGCTTTTACTATCGCTATGCCAACTAATCTGCTAAATGTTGCAGGCTCTACTCATACAACTGTATCATTAGGACTGCAAAAGACATGAACAGATATCTTCCTTCCACACCATCAAAGGAGATTATTGGGAAAAGAAGATCCAACTTTACAAGGTTTTTTCTTTCCCTGACACGGTGATTAGAAAGCTTCTTAAGAGGATTAAAGCAATGGTATAAAGATGTTGTGAGAGTGTTCAGCTGCTCAGGTATAAAAGATGATAGGCGCTTGAAGGTGACATAGATCTTTTCCAGGTGGACAAATGAGCTCGGTAATGACTACCACAGATAAAAGAATTTAAAAAAAGATTTCATAATTACAATTAAATGTGCTGCCAAGCCTTTTTCAGCCTCCAAACTTTAAAATCACCAGTCACAGGTTGCGGCGCGGCGATCAAAGCCTCATTTGAAGATGAAAAATTAAACAAGGTCTTTTAAGAAAATAAATATATTAAAGCGCAAGCAGCATGTGTGGTAAAGTAACAGGTTTCTAAAAACCATTTTGTGGCCTTGGAGCTGCAAATAACTGCATCCCTGCTGAGGGTGATGACCACTGAATTAGTCATGAGGAAGGTACCTGACCGCTGAGCGGACAGGTGGGACATCACACAAAACTCGCCGGTGGACTCCGCATGACACATCCACAGGCTCCTCACACTCCCCTCTAGATTAAAAGAAAAATAGTGCTTGTGTGTTATTCATAGCGAGATTGATTTTTTTTTCTTCTATTTTCCGCCACATGAAAACAAGTGGGTAAATCTTATTGACAGAGTTTGGAGTGTGGCCCCAGCCCACCGTCTGAAAGAGCGGATTTAATGAAAAAGTGCACTTCATCAAATGTCTCTCGAACACTTTCTACTGCACGCTGCATGATCTTGAGTTATATTTACACTGTGTGCAAAGACCAACTCACACGAGCGTCATAGGTTCTAAGAACGAGACAGCAGAGTTTATTGTTGGCCTCGCATTCTGCCGCTGCCTGTGCAGGCCGAGCTGCCGCTCTTTATCAGCCTGTAGCACCTTACGGGGTTAATATTAACTCTTTGGTAAGAGATGTGTTTGTAAGTGCGGGTGTTGACACTACCCGTCACAATTTTAGATGTAAGCTGCGTGTTGGGTTTAGTTTTTAGTAGAGCAGCTCTTTCGACTTGAGTGTGAGAAGGCAAACAAACTTTTTTAATAAGTTTGGTCCACTGCAAATTGCTCATTTTAATATTCACAATTTAAAAAACTGCAATAATATGCAGAATGACAAGGACGCGTGCCGCAGCTGTTGTGCATTTTTTTCAAGGAACGCTTGTGTAAATGTCTGCCTACCCAGCCTTTTTAAAGTTTTTTTTTATTTTATTTAAAACCAGGAAGTTTAATTTGGCACCAGGGATCAACATCTGTTATGTGGGAGCGATTGTGCGAACGTGCAAAAAACCTCAAACCTGCACACACATAATAAGTGCAGCAGAATTTGAGCAGAGGACAACACGTGGACCATTCTCACCCTCACGGCTTGTTTATGTGGCAAGGTGGGAGCCCCCGGAGGAAAGAAAGGCGTGCAAAACACACTCGCGCATGCTTTTGTTGGTGTGAGAGTGTGCTATGGGGTGTGTTGCCATCTGAGGAAGTGGCTCCTTATCAGAGTGTGTACATGTGGGCGTGAGAGACTGTCGCCCTATCCGGCCCTCTTGGCCCAGTAAAGCCGGAGAGCTGCACACGGTGTGCTGCTGCTCAGCAGGCGCTGGCGTTATCAGTGTAAAACCTTTAGGTTCAGACATTTGGCATTGAGTGTTTAGGCACCTGCTCGCGGTGTAAATTAGGCCCCACTTAAGGGCGATGACCAAGCTCTTGTACTTATCAAATTTGTGTTTGGTGTCAGTGAATTTTTGTACTCTGACAGCCACTGTTTAGCCGTCTATACTTTTTTTTTAAATTCTACTTTTGTGTCTTCTTCAGTCCGCAGAGTTCTTCGATATGCTGGAAAGGATGCAGGTGAGAAATAATTCTTTTTTTTCCCTCTGAATGCATCTTTTTCTCCTGTTTTCTTTTCTTGTTTCCTAACCTTCGTTTATCCTGTCTCCTCAAAAACAACTAATTAATTTCTGTATTGACACATTGCAAGATGTACAGTCTCTCCCTTATGTTGCGTGTAATCAGATAAGGTGAGACTTCAGCATATGCCTGAGGTTTCTCACATTGGATAATGTGGATTTTACAAGAGGAGAAGAAAAGCTCTGGAGAGATCCACACAAGCTATTTTCTCTCCTTTTCTAAGAGGAATACATTGATTTTCCATTTCTTCTGAGCAGTGTCTGTCACTTTCTGTGTGCAACCACTCTGTGCCCTCAACGGGCCCCTGAGGGCACAGGCTTTGAGTCAGAGGACAGATGGGGGGGAATGAAAAGGAAGAGGAGGAGAGGTGGATAAATGAAAGAGACTCAAAGAACTGTGAGAGACTTACAAGATGCAGTCTAAAAAAACGATCATTTTGTAGCTTATAGTGAGGATTTCAGTTCAGAGAGTGAGAGGAAAATGTGAGGAGAGACTATCTTATGCAGAAGAACATGAATGCATCTAATTGAACTAATCTAAAAGAGTGAAGCCATGTGCATATCCCCCAAACATAACCCTCCAAACATAGGTCTACTGATATGTTCTGTTTGTAATTGGCTGCATGTGATGTGAATTAATAATAGTGTGCTTCAAAAAAGCATTCTGTGGACCTATTACTCTCACTTGATTAAATGTCCAGCTGGGCTAATAACATTTCCAGCATTATTTTTGATGGGCTGCTTTGTAGTAGTAATGTCAGTGTTTATATGAACACAAAGATGAACTGCAAAGCTGTGAGACAGGAAATGTTCATCTACATGTCCAATGCATGTCAGTTTCACAGTGCAGGTTTAAAAATTGTAGCATGATATATAGATGTATATTTTAATGTTGTTGTTTTTTTTGCTTTGTGTCGCGCAAGGGTGAGTCTCATGATCTGTGGTCATTTTCCCTTTCTGCATTTTAATTTCTTCTGAGGTTGTTTTTAGTCTGCTTAGAGCCTGGGGCATGACTAGAGGACTTCAAACTGTAGATCAGCCTCCAGAATAATATCAGTTCATTTCTGTAACGCATAACCAAATGTTAAATACATCATTTAACTGCAAAGAGGAAAACTATTTTTACAGATTTTAAATTAGCATGAAGATAAAAACTCATCATTATTCAAAACATAGCGACTTATTAAGTCCTCTCCACATGACTGCATAAAGTAAACACCTTAATGAATATATCTAGTGTTCTCTAGTATGATTTGCATAACAAAACAAAAAAACACTGGTATAGTTCATCTTTCTTTTTCAACCCCTCATCTTTTTTTCCGCTCGATTGAACAGTTTTGGCACAATTAAATTAGATTTAATCATGCAAAAATGGTCGTAAACAGAGAGACTGAAAAATGCTGCCTCTTCAGGGTGTTTCTGTGCATCTCACTCGAAAATTGTAACAGCTGCTTTGTCAATATGCATTTGGAGCACTAACTACGGAATACTATCCCTAAAAGTGTGTGTTAGATACGTGGTCAATAAGTCACGTGAAAAATAAAATGCATCCTTGTTATCAATAGCGATCAGATAAACGCCGTGTAACTATTTCAGGGAAAATATGCAAAAAGAAGAAGCAGCGTTTGAAAAGCTAATTATACACACCTGAATAATTGATCTTCGGTTCATGTGAGCCACTCTAATAAAAAGAGAACTTTTGCAGGTCTGAAGCATTCAGGTGTGCGAACAATTGTCGCTTCCCATTATTCTGGGGAGGTTTAATTTCCAAATAATTTGGGAGCACATTGCCCCAAAGTGAGAAAGGGGCTTTCACAAGTAGAAAAACAATTCAAGGTGCCACTCGTCCCAATTGCAAGCTTACTGCAGTTTCTCCGAGTAAGACCCGGAGCTCAATCTCACACTCTACAAGCCTCAGTAAGCATATTGGATATTAAAATTCATGACGGCAAAATAAGTCGGAGGGGGAACAAGTATAAATGTTTGGATGGGTAATCGGGAGGAAACTTTGAGAATGCAGCAGCATGGCCTGGGTTTGCAATGCTTGTCCTCGCCATGTCCTTCAGGAAGGTGTTTGAGGCCATTTGGTGAAAAACAAACAGCAAATATGCCTTATAGCAGCTGTAAAACAGGGTGATGGACTGGTGAGGATTTTAGGTTTGCCACTGGGCCAAAAGTCAGCCGTGGTGTCCTCTGCATACCAACATTTCCTAGAGTCAAATGCGAGACCCTTTCCGACATCTGGTCAGGGCCAATTGATATTTCTGCGGAAGTCTTGTCATTACATCCTGACACCTAGGAGCTCTTACTTCCACTACTACATTTTAATCTCAAGTAATGGATTGTGGTGCATTTATTGAGGGATCTGAATGCCCACGTATGCATTTGTGTCGTTCGTGTTATGCTGAGTCACGGAGACATTTAGACTTATTCTGCTGGGCCGGTTGCATAATTGGACAATTTATTCCTTGATAGTCACATTTTTGTGTCTGCTTCCGAAATGCACAGCACCGCTGATGGGAAAAGAGCCAATCTTTGTGTGAGTGCTGTTGCGTCCAAGCAGATGATTATTACATACCAAGAAGGGAACTTTCTCTCTGTGTGCGGTCTGATTCAGAGTAGGTGACTAACGGTTTGCATTACCTGTGAGCATGTCTGTCTTTGTGTATGCGGGACGGTGTATGGGCATGTATGACTCACTCACCGGTCATCTGACAACAGATAAAGTAAGGTCTAACAACAAGAATGCCATGTTTGGAGTCACTTTATGAAAGCAGAGAATTTTCTTTTGACCCTTGTGCTTTTCCATCCTCATGCTGCCAACGGACACCTATAAGGTCCCTAAAGCTGAAGAGACCAAAAGATGGAAGGTGTGACTGGATGCACAATTGTCCATATGTTCTCTGTGGTTCTCATTCATTTGTGTTATTCCATGTTATTCCACCCATCTGCATTCTGCTCCCTGTGATTGCTTCATCATGCCTCCTGCTTGCCTCTGTGCTGGTCCTCTTCTCCCCTTTCTGCTTATGAGGGATTCCTGCGAGCGTTTTCCGAATTTTCCCACGGCCGTTTTGAAATGTGAAATCTATAACCTCTTGATCGCATCGATTATAAGTTGAACGAACTCCAGCTGTCGATTGATCCTTCTTCGACCTGCCAGTACCCTGAAACTGACCGCTGCAGAACACAAAATGACAGTCTGAGGTGTACCGCTCCGGCGGTCCTGACTGATTTCGGCAGCATTTCGAGGTCAATCACTGGATTCGCAGATTGCCAAGGGCACATGGCAGCTCTTAACCTCTTGGCTAGCGAATCAAAATAGCTCTGACATCACTAAGTGGTGGCACGCCTTTCTGACTAATGTTTATTTCAGGCTGTTGCATCATCGACTGAAAGTCCATTTAGCATAATAGACCGCATTACCCTTGGTGCCTGTGCTTGTGGCTGTGCTTGCAACTTTATCGTTGTGACGAAAGAGAATTCGAAACGTGAAATTAGCCTTTTTTCAGAAAGTATGTCTTGTGTTTTACAGGATGACTATATCCCCTACCCACGGATAGAAGATGTGAGTCATTTCTCAAACGCACGCACGCTCACATTTGATGTATAACGTGTCTGTTGAGGTGTTACTGACAATAGATGCACAACCTCCAGGCTCTCTTCCTCACGGAAAAACTTTTTTGTTCAGTTGTTCACTGCATAATGAGGCGCGGTTCAGCTGAACTTCCCCCTGTTATAAAACCCCTCCCGCACTAGGTCTTGGAGAAAGGTGGCCCGTACCCTCAGGTGATCCTGCCCCAGTTTGGGGGCTACTGGATTGAGGATGCAGAGGGACCAGCAGGAACACCGTCATCTTCCGAGTCCAGTTTCTGTGAGGAGGAGGATGGAGGTGAGGGGATGAGCCCTGGTGGGGCGCACACCTACCGCCTGGAGTGCAACAGCACAGCTCGGGCCTACCGCAAACACTTCTTAGGCAAGGTTAGTAAGTGTGTGCGTATTAGTGCCACTTTTACTGTATGTTTAGATGGGCTAAGCATGTTGTGAACTTTGATCTGAAATGTGTCTTTCTACTTTTGTTCACACAGGAGCACATGAACTACTATTGCACAGGCAGCAGCATAGGCAACCTCATCATGTCTCTGAAACATGAGGAGGCCGATGCGCAGGAGTTCCTACGCATCATGCTCAGGTACAGTGAGAAAACTGAGATGTAAGATAGTTTTCCTTTATCTGACACCCGTCCATCCATCCATCCACTGTATACACTGCTTATTCCTAGAAGGGTCACAGGCAGGGCTGGAACCTGTCCAGCCGTCATTGGGTGCGAGGCAGGAAAAGGTTCATTTCCAAATAATTCACACACACAGAGCAAGAACCACACACTCACATTCACTCTTAAGGGCAATGTACCTTGCTGTTACCTGGTTTTAGAATTAATCTGTCCCTTCAGTTGCCGTCTGCTGGTTTAATTAAAACTGTCAAATTTTACAAACAACAAACAATAAATATCTTTATTTATATTTAAGTCAAATTCATCCGAAAAGCTATAGTATATAGACATGTTTTGCTGTTTTTTTATTGTATTTTCAGGTTTTGCTCCAGATAATTTGTGGTGTAGAAACATCCCATTAAAAAAGTGGAAAAAACAAAAGGTGTTAACTTGAAAATTGTAGGAGCTTACATTGTATATTTATCATTATTATCATAAATAATGAAAATTGTGATCCAGTCATAAGTCAGTCAAAATGACTTACGTGTGTTTGCATGATCTAGAATATCCAGAAAATGCCTGTAATCCCTGATCTTTCTCCTCCTCCAGTTATTTGTGGTCTTTGTCATCATAAATCTGATTAGATTTGTGCTTTCTTTTGTTGCCAATTTTTTTTCCCCTCTAACCATCAGCACAGTTGGTGACATTTTCATTAACAGCGGAGAAAAACAATAACATAATGCTTCGCTTTTGCCCAGCCATTGTTTGGCTGTAGCGAGATGATTGCTAATCTCCCCTGGATAGTTGACAGCGATAACGTGCGGGAATATTACTGGTAGTGCTGACATTTTATACAAGACACCCAATGTGTAGTTCTTTTTATTTAGCCGAGTGAGAAAAAGTCCCCTATGACTGTTTGTTGTTTCATCTGAGCAGTAGGCAGTACAAAACCTCACTAAGACCATCAAAAGTTTATGTTCATTAGGTTATTTAAATCGGTTTTTTGAAGCCTCTCATAAGGACTGCTCCTCTATTTTGTTCTACTTGCAGATCACGGACCAAAACAGTTCATGAGAGAATTTCTTTAGCTGGAATCAACCAGCTTCCCAGCGTACCTCAAATCGCAAAGGTGAGTGTAAATTTAGACTCAGAGTTTAGAAAAAGCTTATATTGCTCCCAATAGGAGACATGTTACCTGATTTTGTACATATATTAAAGTGCTCTTAATAAAGATTACTGATTCTAATTTTAACAAAACACTAAAATTAAGATAGATAACAGTCACAGTTTCCATGCCGCCCCTCAATAAACCAAGCATAAGTTGCAGTCTCGGTTATTAAACTCCATTATTCTAAATCTCAAGATTGATCCAGCTTCCTTCGCCTCAGAAAATACTGTGCAGTCATCATCAACCCAACAATAGAAACAGAAAGCGAACCTTTTGACACAGCTGATATTCTCACATTTGTAATCTGTTTTTTGGAAACTGTGGACGATCCTCTCTCTCTCTCCCTGTCTTTCAGCTTCTGTGTGATGATGCCACAGGGCTCAAGTTCAACCCAGTTCTTTACCCCCGGGTGAGTTTATCCTCAGTTTCCACATTGTGACCTCACCATACCGGCTGGGATCGGTTTATTTTTCTCTCCTTGTCTCCACTCAGTAAAATGGAGCACGGCATAGTCAAAGAGCTGAGGCTGTATTTGCTGGTATCTGTAACCTTCATAAATTGTTTTTTTCTGAATTGTACAGAACCTTAATTATTTTCATGCCAAGCCTGCGGCCTTTCTTTGTAAACATGCAAGTGAGGCGCCACTTGTTCTAATAATTTTTTCCCAGCTTTGCCCACCTGTCCCTCTGTTTGATTAACCTTTCAGTCTCCCCTGGCACTTAACCAAGAGACTATCAAGCGGCTGCTTGACATCTTATTCGTTATGAGCTCCCCATATTCCCAGCATTTGTTCCGTTCAGTGAGATAATCGTGCAAGAAATTACTAAGGATAGACCAACTTTCTAAAGTGGATCTGTCAGAACTGCTCCTAGTCTTATGCACCTCGGGGAAGAGCAGAATGAAGCATGCTTTCAGCCTGTGCCTCAGGAAAGGAAAAAAATAAAAGCCCCATCTGTGTCTCAGAATGCAAGAGACAACAACAGGGCCATTGACCTCACTGGGGGCCCATACTGTTTGTTGCATGTCAACCTTATGTAACATGGTTTTAAAAGGCCTGCCCACGAGACGTAACTGGAGAGAGAAAAATATGTTTTCCTTATGGTGACAGCGAGCTAAACATATAAGCTGAGCTGTAAAAGCATGGAGAGAGTAAGATATCTTTGCTTTTTGTTTACATTCAGGGATCCCAGTTGATAGTGGCCTATGATGAGCATGAGGTGAACAACACGTTCAAATTTGGAGTCGTCTACCAGAAGTTTGGGCAGGTGAGCTGCCTAGTCAGGGAACGCCTACTTAGCACACATTCGTCACGTTTGCACGGACATGGATTAATCTTTTCACGTCTCTCCCCTTCTCTCTCGCACGCGGGTGTTTACCTGTTAGACTTCTGAGGAAGAGCTGTTCGGGAACAATGAGGAGACGCCAGCTTTCAAGGAGTTTCTGAGTATCTTAGGAGACAACATTGAACTTCAGGATTTTAAAGGGTAAGAGTCCTAGAACGGTGGAACAATTACCAGAGTAAAGGACAATAAAAGAGGGCAGGGGGGGAATACACTGACATAAAAGGAAACAGAGAAAAGGCTGCACAAGGATGAAAAAAAGATGCACGAGTACATGGAGGAGCAAGTAAATAGCAGGGTTTAATTACAGTAACCTTGGAGGTATTTGCCCTGCTGTTTCAGACTCAGCGTACAGCTGGGATAAACTGCTTAGTGAAACAGATTTAAAGGAGGAAAGTGCTACATACACATGTAATTAGAGCTCCAGACATATATATATGTTGTCTTACTTGCCTTTTGGATGCTGTTGAGCTTGCAAATTTACCACTCAAGGATGCTTTTAATGGGGGACAAATGACTACAAACTACTTTCAGTTCATAGCCTCGTTAGTTCAGAGAACAGCCTAACAAACTGGAGTGAACATAACAGAAAAATGTGTGTTTAAAAACTGTTACAGGTTCCGTGGTGGGCTGGATGTTTCCCATGGACAGACCGGCTCTGAATCTGTCTACACGGTCTTCAGACAGAGAGAGATCATGTTCCATGTGTCAACTAAACTTCCTTTCACTGAGGGCGATGTTCAACAGGTACCAGACAGGAATCCTGTTGTTTTACAGTGTTTCTCTCAAAAAAGTTGATATTAACGCAACTGAGTCACTATGTCATGCTACTCTGGTAAAACCTATATATAAGGTAGGGACCACAGTTACAGCTAATGTAAGTTAAAACATCTGAAATAAACCCAAGAATGAATTTAAGTCGTGTAATACTTGTTATAAAACAGTTTTCTGGCCTCTTTGATGGAAAATGTTTAACCACAGCTATGATCTTTTGTCCGTAGCTCCAAAGGAAAAGGCACATAGGAAATGATATTGTAGCAGCAGTCTTCCAAGAGGAGCCAACACCTTTTGTTCCAGACATGATCGCCTCTAACTTCCTGCATGCATACGTGCTGGTGCAGGTTGAGAACCCCTGTACAGAGCACACCACCTACAAGGTACGAAGACCTTTTTGTGAAAGTGCTTTTAAGTGTCTGTAAAACAGAAAGAATCTAATGAAACCGCACCGGCCATCATTCGAGGTTAAATCAGTTGAGTCCTGTGCAGGAAATGTATTTATTCATATATAAATGGCATAGGCTATGGTGAATTATCCCTGAAAACAACATGCCCTTTTTATTATTTTTAGTCCATCAACTTTAAGTTAGAGTTTCTTGAAACAAAAATGTGGCCGTTATTCATTTCTGTGAACAGGTGTCTGTCACGGCGAGGGAGGACGTCCCCTCTTTTGGGCCGCCACTTCCAAACCCAGCAGTCTTCAAGAAGGTGAGGGACAGGGCTGAACTCAGTATATAGCAGCGGTGCTGGTCTAATTTTAAATCATTTCCGGTGGGTCTAAATTATAAAGTGCAGCACCAGTTACATTTATCTTTCTTCTTCAACTAACCCGATTCTTCTCCACTGTTGCTATATTTCACTAACTGTTTTGTTGAGTGATGGAGTACTCCCTCAAAGGATATCATGATACAGAGTCCAAGTCTGAATGCATCTAAATTTGCTTTCAGCACTGAACCTGTCTTTAGGATATCTCCTAATCCTAAACAAAACCTTGTCTTATGTGTTTTTGTAAATGTATTCATACAAGAACAGTGTTCCAGAGTCTAGTCAAAAGTGTCTGTTTATTTCTAAGGAGGTAAAGAGTTAGATAAGCACAGCATAGCACACCAATGTCTGGCTACACTGCTTCAAATATGGAAGAAAACACATTGCGAAGCCTTTACCGGGGAGATTCCTGCTAAAATTCCTCGTTGACTTCATACTGAGGAGCTATCTCAATCTGCAGCAGGATCAAACCAGACTCACCCTCAAGCTTGAAACTGTTGTGGAGCAGTGCTGATACGGCATATAAGTGTCCAGGTGTCTGATGTTGGCTTTTATAGTTCTAGACCACAACTGCATGCATTCAGATTGCATGGCCATGGCATTCTAAACTTGTTTGATTGAGATTATTGGAAAACTGTTGACTGTAAATGCTCTTCAAACTTCATCCAGCAACAACCATTCACAGATTGGTCAGATTGATTAATTTAGTCGGAAAGTTTTAGGATCAAAAGTGTTAAAAGTGTTGATTTGATTGAGACACATTTGTCTCTTTCTTTTTTCCAGTCTTTGAGTCTTATGAATATTTTTAAAGACTTAATTGACTTGACTGATCCAATTCTTTCTTTTATTTTTGTTGCTTCCTTTTTTTCTGAACAGAGACTAAAACAACAAAACAGTTTTTTTTTTAGAAAAAAGTAAAAGGGTCGTTTTGGATAAAAAGTATTTCTCACTGACTTCCGTGACACAATGGGTCTTGTTGGGCTGGTGGACACTGAAGTCACTGAGATTAAAGATTCCTGATCAAACACACTCAAGAGTATAATCCATACGCTGCTGATAGAGGTCACCTTCCTTGATTGTTGCCTCCCTCATCTGTTCTTTCAAGTCCATCATCAAACACCAACCTTTTCTTTGTCACCGTCTCCTCCTCCAGGGTCCTGAGTTCCGCGACTTCCTGCTGACGAAGCTGATCAATGCTGAAAATGCCTGCTACAAATCGGACAAATTTGCCAAACTGGAGGTGACGCACGATGCGCCCAAACAGCGCAGCACGTCTTCAATCACCTCTTAGTGTCATCCAGTAATCCCCCCTCCCGACGCCCCCCCCCCTAAATGGGTTTTGTGTGGGTGAACTGATTGCAGGGACGCACGCGGGCAGCCCTGCTGGACAACCTCCACGACGAGCTGCACAGACAGAGCCAGGCCGCGCTGGGTCTGGGCCAGGTGGGGGAGGAAGACAAGCTGGAGAACGGTGGACACGGGGGTCTCCTGGAATCATTCAAGGTGAACACCAACCCAGACGAAAGCACTGGCGAAGCGATCTTTTTCTATGCTCTGTGACATTTCTTTAATCACAGTAATCATAGCACAAGGTCAGGGAAATGTCACCGTCTACCAAACGACTCCAGGAGCTAAACCTTTGTTATTGCGGCTGCTGTGGCTTTTTCTCGATCCTCAGAGATGCGAGGCCTTATGCTCAGACTGAATGCGGGTGTGTGGGCCTGTGTGAGCATGCCGGTGTGTGAACAGGACTCCAAAAACGCTGCAATGCTCTCGCTGTGTGTGTGTCACCTTCTCGTTCCCCCTATCTGGCTAGCCTTTGTGCTCATCACTCAGTGGGCCTTCACACTCTTTTGTCCACGTCTGCTATTTAACTGATGCTAATGGGCCTGGCGCAACATGTGTTCTCACCTCCGTGTGTGCGAGGCGATGAAATGTGTTACCAACGTGATCATTTTGCTCTTTGCAGGCGTTTTGGACGGTTACTTTGCACTTTCTGCAGACAGTCCCAGGGGGCGCATTGCTCATTGCTGTCGCAGCAGTTTTTTTGTATTACTTTTCTGTGTTACTGTAACTGAAAGAAAAGATTACCTCATGATAATAAAGATTCACGTCTGAGATCTGGTTTGTGTTTGTGCTTTCCAGGAATGTCTGTTTATGCTTTTATTGTAACTTTTGATAAAGCAGACTGTATTTGGGATTGATCGAGGTCAATTAAGCATATTTCAAATTATTATTTTACTTATCTACAAACTAATATCTCACACAAGCGTTAACATGTCGTTCATTCCCAGCACTGTTTGTCCCTTATCTTAAAGAGCTGCACCCCCTAGTGGTTATATTCTGCTGTGACATTTAGATTTGCTGTATTTTTTAATTTAGTAAACTTACTCTCCTTATGTCTTCCCTTTAAAAGGTTTTTGGAGTCATTTTCTTTTGCTTCTGATATTTGCTTCCAAAGATTTCTTTCTATTTTCTTCTGTGGCGCTTTTTTCTCCTCTCTCTGATCTGATCTTTTTTTGCTCCGTCCTCTTTCAGAGAGCCATGCGTGTGAGGAGTCACTCCATGGAGACCATGGTGGGGTCTCACCGTCACCGGAGCCCCGGGGTTGGAGGTGGTGTCCCAGCCAGCCTCAGTGGCGGAGGACTGCCACAGAGCACCAGTGAATGCACAAAGAGCACTTTCACTGTAAGGGAAATGGTCTCATTTGAAATCCAGGGGCTATAAACTGAATTCACATTGATAACTCGTTCATTTTTCACATAGTTTTTAAAAGAGATGTTACTTCAGGGTGATGTTAATCTGCCTTTGATATTCCTACAAAGATGTGGATCCAAATCGTATTACTTATGTGTACTTTTGTTTGGTTATATTATCAGTCTGATTTGTGTGCTTTTAAGTGTTGTTATACAGGAAAAGCATTTCTCAATAATCTGTATTCCTCAGCCTCCTGTTCTGTCAGCCAAGTCTCCTTTGAAGAGCCCAGTGAAACGGCGCTCAGGCCTCTTCCCCCGCCTCCACTCCAGCACAGAGACCCCATCAGACAAACACACTCGCAGGTCAGCACTCGTTGTTTTCGAGTGGCCACTGTTTCCTGGTTGGTGTCGTAGTTGCTTTCGTGTGTACTTCTTCCCCAGCTTGTGTTCTTCCACAAGCCGAGGTAGTCATTTCATTTCCACTTTGTCGGCAGTGACCAAAAGCCAGCAGAAATCTGCCCGCTTTCACACGATATGAGGTCAGAGACACCATCCAATCCCAGCTCCCCTGAGATCTGCCCCAACAAAGAGAGGTCAGCCAGAAACCCGGTAGAGCCGGGGTTTTTTTTCTCAACAATAATCGGTCTTTTAAGGCCCTGTGCAAACATTCAATTTGAAGGAAATGTTTTTCTGCCTTCTATCCACAGGCCTTTCGTGAAGCCGAAGGAGAGCAGCAGCGTCTGCAGGCCAAACATCTCGCGCTCCTCCTCCAGCACCAGCAGCTTCAGCAGCACCACAGGAGAAGCAGAAGCTCTGGAGGAACTGGAGACAGTGAGTTTACTGGACTGTGTTTGAGCTGCTGGTTTTAAATGTTGCCACAGGATAGAGCTTGTGGTCAAAATATAAACCGTCCCTGTGTGACGCCAGCAACTGGACAATGTTGCCTTTGCCAGATATATTTAACACATCAGTTACTTAAGTTGCTATAGTAAAATAGTCCGAATGTGGGGTAAGCAGTCTGCATATACAAGAAAGGTGACTTTTTTCTGTAATTGTGTTTCGGTCATTGGTTCACTGGTTGCTGACAGAAGGTTCAAAGAGGTTGTGACGATCAAAAGGAGATGGAATGATTGAATAGTACTGAGCCTTTCAAAATGACGGCTAACAAATGAACACAGGGACGTAACCATGTTTGTGTTGTCTCTCAAAACTCTCTCTTAATGGAAATGGGGCCATTTCCTGCTTTTTCCTTCCCTCCAGACCAGCCATCCATCTATAGCCTCTACCTCTGCCTTCAGCCCTTCCCTAAGCGTTGACAGCCCAGGATCCAGTACGCCTGTCATCATGTGCCGCAGTCCGACAGGTAACCCGCGATCCGTGCGCCATTCAGATCTGTCATTGCACAGTTTTGCCTAACTGACTGCATTTCCGTCTTCATCCTTCCCCATATTCTTCAGATGTGAAAAGTAAGACATCACCGAGGTCAAACTTAAAGTTCCGTTTTGACAAAATGAGCCACTCGTCCACAACTGTGAGTTTCCGTACGCCGCCGCTATTCTAAAGACCGAAACCGTAGAAACTTTCGTCATTTGAAAAGATATGAGGCAGCATGCTGAGAGAGATGACAAACAGTCACACTGCTGTTGGCCAAAAGGCCAAAGTTGCCTGTGAACACTCCTCTAACTGACCTCCATTTTCTCTGCTCTCTTTCAGTCTGAATAGCTTTGTGGAACTAAAAAAAAGAAAAAGACATGCACAACGAAGACCCGCACAGATCTAAGGAAGCTGAAAAAAAAGTCACAACAGACACAAAATTATAATACAGCTTATTTTCTTTCTACAAGGAGGATCATCTAAAGACCAACTGCACCAGAGAGCCCCCGCCCTCATCCACACACACACACAGACACACACACACAAAGCTTACTGATAATACTGTGAGTGTAACATAAAGAGATAACATAACATGCTGGCATAGGATTGTTAATTGTTCACATGAAGGTCTTGGAGTAACTGTTATACTGTGAGTGCAGGCCGAGCTTGACTGGGCCTGAGCTTTGTCTTAATTGATCGAGTTTCACTGAGAGACAGACGTTTATGGCCGCAATGTAAGATGACTGTCTGGTGGAAAAAATAACAGACACCAGGTTCTTCCTTTTCACCCTTGTCCCTGAACTGCATTAGTAATGGTTCCTCCTCTGCCTGAAAGTACAGACAGGTCGTCACACACATCTCCAGAATATATTGTACAATAGATTAACAGCAGCACAGCCTCGAAGGTGACAACACTGGAAGTCTTCTCTCTCGATCGAGGGATCCGAACTCATTCTTTGCATATACGTTTGCTTTTCTAGGAGCCGTCTATAATTTTGGAAACGCTTTTGTAACCTTGCTAGCTGCTGCGTTGTGTCAACAGCACTATACAGTTAACATGCCTCCTCCCAGCACAGCGCTCCTGTATCTATAAGGATAACTTCAGAGCCCTGGTTGGTTGTCTGAAAACCAGTTCTCGAGAGGCACTGTAGGAGACACTGCCAAAACATTTAGCCACAAGCTTATTTTAGCCAAAGCTGCGCCTTACAATCTCTCGAAAGCTTTTTTTTTTTTTCTCTGCTCGCGTGTTCCATCCCTCTGAGTTTCTCTCACTATGTGAGGGGATTAGAATCAGTTGGATCTGGTTACAGCACAGTTGTGGGGAGCCGAACAACACCCACATTTGCTGAAAATAGACACTGCACTTACTGCAAAAACCTCCTTGTATCTCTCCCTGAAGCTTGCTAACTTGTTGTAGGGGTGCATTTGTCTGGAGGTGCTTTTGAACGGGGAAGTCTCTCCATGGCTTCACTCACACCACGGGAGCTGATGAAGAGGACTTGAAAAAGATGCTTGAAGCTTCAAACTTCAGTGAACCTTAGAACCACCTTTTGCAAAAACACTTTGAATGTGAATTACAATCTTTTGGGTTTTTTTGTTTTGTTTTTTGCCTTGTTATTATTGCCAGTCCCTCATGAGCACAACAAGGCCATAGTTCTTCTTAATCTGCAGGTATTCCGTACTTTTACCCTGTGGCAGGACAAGCTGGGGTTTATCAAAACACTTCAAAGGGATTATTAGTTATTGTTTGTACCGCAAAGTTAGGGTTGTGTGAAATACTTTTATGAGTCAGTGTCCAGGTTTTCATTTCCTTCTTAAGCGAATCTGAAGAGTTCATTTGAAAAGCCCTAAATGACACCTTTTCATGTCCAGTTTTAAGCTAAGAATCAGGGCTTTGACATGCCAGCAGTTGGATGTTGTCACAGGAAACAAACCTAAAGAACAACTGCGGCGGGCATTTAAAAAAAGCCTCATTTTTACTTTAATCACTGAGAATCTCAAGTATGTTATACATGGAAAAACACCATGTACCCTGTAAATTAGAGACTTTTTTTAGATTGAATAGAAGACTACAATTATGCCCTTTAAATTCACACCTTTTTCACGTGCAAGGGGAAAACAGCACAAAAATCCCAGGTAATACAACAGTCAGAGTACTTTCAGCATTTTTTCAGAAGAAAGGCCATAGAAAATCACATTTTAACCATCTATCTCTGCTCAAACCTCAAATATTTCACAGGAGTTCCAGCAGATATTATCTTTTAGAATTTTATTATTTTTTTATCGGCGAAGAATCTTCTGGTGATTTTCTTTTGTTGCATGTAGGCTAGCCACTATTGTAACCTACCTTAACTCAGCTCTGACTCCATCAGTCTACTCCCATAATGTATGGGAGTAGACATTTCACAAAGATGTGATAAATGACAGAGTCTAGACGAAGCACAAACTCTTCCCACTTTTACCTAAACTGATGCTATTAATGAAGCTATTAAACAAGTCTGTCACTATGAGTCAGCTGATGACACAGTCACAGGAAGTGTTGACCAGACACAATATTACAACAGCGCAGATACATTTGAACTTTCTTTAGTTCAAAAAAACCGCACCATGCTTCTTCTTTTTTTTAAGGTTTGAGGAACAGTTTTACATGGTAAAAATGTATTGTCTCCCAGCCAAAGTTCAGAGAAACTGAGCACATCCATCAGCCTCTCAAATTCTTCAAAACCGTGTGTGCTAAGATGTGTTTGTGGCAGGTGAGGCCTAAAGTCCTCAGAAGTACTTCGCACAATAGAAGTAAAGAAGAAAAGAAAAGTGTCCCTTTAAGATGCACAGATGTGTTTCCATTGAGACCAAGTGACCAAACTAGCAGGCGTGTGGAGAATTATCTGTGTACTATCACTGTGCAGGGGAACCATGTTTGATGTGAGGTGCGTAGTGTGTAAAGATTTTGAGGGTTCACCTAATTTACAAATGGCCTATTGATTTTTGTTGACCTTTGAACTTGCCAGAAAGCTGTTGGCAGGGAAGTTACTTGAGAAGTACCTCTTGTCTACCCTTGGAGTAGAAACAGATTTTTTGATGGATCCGCAAAATCCTCCGATGGCGTGGACCAGTGATTACCTCGAGTAAGAGTGGCAGGAAAGAAATCTCTGGACAGAATTAGAAAGTTCAGATTACGTTTAGTTTGTAGCTGGTACCGCCCTAAACGTCCTGCAGCCTTTGCTCTGTTGATATGCTTAATTTATTAAATGATAACTTCTTTTGCATCGATGTCATGTAAAAATGTCACTGCAGAGTACGCTAAATCATTGAGTTTAAAAAAAATTACTAAAGGAAATATATTAATTTAAGAGACGTCTAAACATGTATATGTATATTTGATTATGTAATGTGCCATTGAAAATTTATTCTAAAATAAAATGTTGTATTTTGTGTCATTTGTTTCTTTTTTATTGAAAACTGTCTCCGGCCTTTGTCGAATTGCCTTCACTTTCATATCCGAAAGACAAACAAAGAAAGAAAGAGAGAGACTGACAACAAAAACAATCAGTTTGTCATACTACTCATCTGTGATCACATATCAAAAGAATGCGAGAGGTCAGCGCGTTGCGGGAAGTCGGCACACATGCCACTGTGTGTCTCGGATGTTTGTTCCACTTTTCGCTGTGTGTAGGTAAAGCAGGAAACTTAAACACAGATGCTGTCCTGCTCGTCTCTATTGGGTGTTTTCTATGGACATGTTTGAATGAGCCAAAATATAGAATAGCTTTTTATTGTTGAAATTCCACAGACACGTCCCCATTTCTATTCTTGTTTCTTTTGCACTTAGGAAAACTTGAGGGATGAGTAGACAGTTGTCTGACTAGGGTTTTTCGAACCTTCCTGTTGCCTCAGTGCTTCCTGGGAAATATCTGCGTACACCACCTGTGACGTGAATATAAAAAAAGATTAGAAAGTAACTTCTTCTATTAAAAACAGGCACCGCAGAGAGTAGACACGGTTAAGGTCTCAAAAACAGATGTTCACCCACCTCAGTCTTCTTGGGCAATTGTGGGGGAGCTGCAAAAGGTAAGCACAAAGACAACAAAACAGTAAGTACAATCCAGGTAGTCCCATACCACGTGATTAAAGCTGGATTGTGAAATGGCAAATGAAAGGATGAGAGACCTTGTTGAACGGGATCGTTTAGTCTCTGTGGTATCTGACGTCGAGGCAGAGGCTGTGGAGGTGCGCGTGGCTGTGGAGGTGTGCGCGGGGGTGGGTGTGGGCGCTTTTTTGCCACAGCCGCGTATGTGACCTGTACCTTTGGATGTGGCTGAGGCTTGACCTCTGAACTGAGGCAGTGAGCCAACCCCAGAATGACAGGAACACAAAAGAGAGCACCCACGCAGATCAAAACCCTGTGCAAGATGTTTCTCGGACGGGAGACAGCTGCATGACACAGAGCAAGAATGCTGTTGGTTAAAAAAACACGTGATGCTTGGTCAACATAGGTGACCGTCTGCGTTTACCTTTTGTGACGTTCACATGCATCCAATGTCCCACTCCGCTGCTCTCACCCCAGGTAACACTACATCTATAGCTGCCTTCGTCTGATTGGTTGACGCTCGTTATTTTTAATACCAGCCGAGTTTCATTGGCTGTGAGGTTGATCCTGTCCAAGTGATGCCTTGGGCCATCTTTAACAATGCCGATCCCTGTATTTGGCATGTGTTCCCACTCCCATTTACCCAACCAGTTCCCTTCACAGTGCTGGACCAAACATGACAGAGACAAAGACTCCCCTGTCGGCACGTAAAATGTCTCCCTTCTTGCCAAGACTGCCTCAGAGCATTCTTCATCACCAAGACCTAAGAAAAAGGAAATAACTTTTGTTATTGTGCAATTACCGAATAAAGAAAAATGTGCAATTCTTCAGCCAGCAGATTAGTAATATACCAGTAATATTCTAGTCATCTACGAACAAAGGCAAAGTGTCTTTGGCCTTTACCAGGGCTTAGAAATATCTTAGATAATCCAAAAAGAACCACATACATGTTTTTATTATCATAATCTAAGCCAAACTGTAGAAAAAAGGTGAAAAAAGTGCACCCGATGACTCAAAAGCACATAGAGCATGCTCATAAACAATAACCTGGGGTAATTAACCTTGCGTCAGTCTCTCGGATCATTGTGGAAGAGCATGTCCCACTCTTCTTTACAATGTCCTGACGTTGGCCTCTTTTATTGGACCATTACCTCACCATGTTTTCTATGCCCCCCCTCACTCTCCACTTAGTATCATTGCAGTGTAGTATAATTCAGTTTGGCCAATCTTTGGCTGAATTTAATTATTGTTCCAGACTGAACTGTGGAACACTTTCACATCCAGGCAACTTCATGGTCAGCTAACTGGCATCTTTACCTCAGTATAATTATTCTGGAAGACACTTGCTATCTTTTAGATATGAGGTACTTTCTCCTGGCCACCAACTCCCTGTGCTTGTTTATCCCTTTTACTAATTGCACTTGCACATTCCTGTCCAGTCGTCACCATTTGTTTAGGCTCTGGTTTTGTTCTTTATACCATGTTGAAACATGTCTGGAAACTCCAGGCCTTCAAACCGTCAAACCTTTCACTTTTAAAACAAGTTTATTTGGTTAGCAGGATGAAGCAAAAAGTGTCCGCATAGCTTCTTGATAAGTGTTTAGAGCAATAATGTTAATGATATTTAAGGGAAATTCCACAAACTGCTTCACACGTATCATTAGAATTTACCATCAAGTTTAAATTAATCCTCACATCAATTTAAAATGTAAAACATAATACAACTGTAGTGTGGCTTACTAATCATTTAATAATGATAGTTATTTTAAACAAGTTGAGGTTAAAGGGTGTAACCACACTTGTTTTGTCTCATTTGGGCTTAAATCTTGTCTCTTGGACAAGCCAAATTACTGTTCCTATACATCTTACTAAAGACACATGTTTTACTAAATGGAAGGTAATGATTGACACAGAGCTTCTAAATGTATATGTAAGTTATTATAGTAAGATTGCAAACTAGGAGCCAGTGAAAAGAGGCAAACAATGCACTCTCTTTTCTCAGTTCGTGTTAGAAGCCTGACAGCTCAGTTCTGACTAAATATGGGGTGATTACCAACAAGAGAGGAAAGCCAAAAAGAGATGACAGCATAAAGAATAGGCTTTAAATGTCTGAGATCATGACCTGACGAAAGGAGAGAATTCTTATTTACATGGCGGGTGTGGATTTCTACATTTGATAAGCCCAAAGATTTTAAGAGCATGCTTTGTAGCAATGGGGGGGTTAGAAAGCTACATACTACTGTAAATGTTCTGTTCACTTCATATTAACAGCTGAAGAAAAGATTAAAAAATAAATTGTTCTGCTTTCAATCTTAACCAAAGCGCAACAACCTCGTGTTGTTAGAGAGGGTTAGGGTTACGCTCACTTGTTTACCTCCCTTGACAGTAAAGCAGATAAGTTCAGTCTTAGTTAGGGATAATACTAAAAATCAAACAATCACAAAGTTTCATATTAATGGAGGGGAAGAAGATTCCAGAATTACCCTCCGCTAGACAGAGTCGGCAGTGACCCATTTTTAGGTTTAACACTAGAGGTTAAGGTAAGAGGAAACTTAAAACATACTCACCCACATGAACAATGCTGACACAGATGATTGCTCTGAGGAAAAACTTGTGCATGTTTGGCTGGAACAGAGTAGCTGCTGGCTCTTTAAAGATAGTATGTACTTCCTCTATCCAGATCAAGCCTACATGTTATGACTCGCTGAGACGGACACTCAGTCAGATGTAGCTTTCTGGGAAAAGGAACTCATTTGCTGAAATCATTGTGTATTCGTCCACATTCACGCCGTCTTTCACTTTCCCTCCCTAGAATCTGTGGTCAAATCATTTCCTCTGCAGCTGATGTTTTTTTTTTTATGTGGAGTTAGAGGAAGGAAGCGATCACCACCCATCAGCAAACACACACTTCCAAACACACATTATATTACAAGGCTTGCACATGAAATTTCAGGAAAAGAATGATGATCACGTGGAGTTGTTAAGTTTTTGAACAGGAAATGGGTCAATCCTAAAGCATTGTCACGTACCTAATAGTACATCCTTGATGCGACTCATTCTACTCATACATTTCCTACTGTTTTTAGGTTTTTAAATATTCATGTTAGTGCCAGAAAGTTTTTTAATCCCTTCAGGAATTTTTAAGACCTCCACACACTTATGTCCAGAAAAATGTGTTCTACATTTAAGTAATGCAAAAATATATTATGTACTTGCTGAAATGTGTTTGCTGATGAATGATATCTCTCTCATCTGGGAGTTGTGGATGGAAACTATGGAAATGTGGAGATCATTTGCTTTATTTCAAGAACAGTCAGCCACCAAAGTTAGATCTTTATATGTCACTCTAGAAAAGATAGGAAAAACCGTGAAGTGTTTAGGGGAAGTTTTGTACAAATTTACAATAATCCATTGTTAGGAGTGGTCGATCAACATATATCCATCCAGAAATTTGGTGTTTCCGAGAGAATCCAGGGAAAATTAAGCAACCCTGAACTACTAAGCACTTCTCTAACATATACTGTAGCACAGCGGTGGGCAGTGCAGGGCTGCAAGATGGAAACCATAACTCTCATGAGGAGGATTATTTCACTTCCTTGCTTTACCAAATAAGTGCAAACAAGCCACAATTCTAACAGAAATATTATCAAAGAAAGACATGAAGGGCAAGTAAAATAGCAGCCCAAGTTGGTGGAGCAATAAATCTAAATTCTAAATCTAGATTGAAAAATGTGAAGGGTGGCACAGTGGTGTGGTGGTCAGCACAGGGTTGCAAATCAGAAAGGATTAAATATGTCTGTTTATTTGGCCAGTTCTTATTTTTTTTGTCTAATCAGTCACTGTAACAACAAGTTATCATAGAGCATTTTTACAGGGGCTGCACGCCATGAGGATCTCATTTCTACCCTCTTCTTGTTTTATCTCTCCTTCCCTTATAAAACATGTGATTTAAAAAAATGAGAATCTTAAGTGGGAAGAAGGAAAGATTTTGAAGACTGGGTTCCGTGGGTTTCCATTTACAAAAAGCACTTCATTCATTTTACCTTCAAAATAAAAATCGTATCTCACTTTTGGCGAGGAAAATGGTATGTAAGGCACAATTTGTTGTCAATAGCGTTTCACTGTACACGCGGTGTTCTTACTGTAGCTTTGAACATATTCCATTTTGGAAATGGAATCTGTAGTAACGCACAACTTTTCTAGTGGTAATTTACTTTGAAACACGGATGTTTCGTCCCCGTTTCTTCTGTCAAATTTGCCTGTGGGTGCACTTGTTTAACGGTGCTCGGTTCTTTCTCCGCTAACTCAGATGTGGAGAGGAAGTGAGGGCGCGTGTGTCCCTCGGGAACACGAGAAGTGAAATCAAATAGCGGTGGAGAAGCAGAAATGTGCCCACATTTGTCGTTAAAATTAAAGCCTGTGTATATCTGATGCTGGTAAAGGCATATGTTAAACCATTTTCATATAAATTAATCAATAAAGTAGATCATGTAGTATATGTTCTCGGATTTACTTTGCATGATCGTAACAGAAGCATTATTTACTCTGTGTTTTGTTCTAGAAGTTGAAATAGTTTTGGTCTTTCCACTGTTTTGAAATTCTTAGTTTCTTTTTTTCTTTTTTCTTTCTTTCTTTCTTTCTTTCTTTCTTTCTTTCTTTCTTTCTTTCTTTCTGTTTTTTTTTTTT